ATTCTACTTATTAAAAATTAAATCGATAATTAAATCGAAAAGTATTTTTTTTTATTTTTGGGTAGAAAAGTTGATATCAAGTTTTTTATCGTTGCTATAAGTCGTTTATAATCTTATCTGAACATAAGAGCTTATGTAGAGAAAAAAAAATTACTATCTCATTAGGAGCAGCTAGCCAAAGCAGACCAGAGGACACCACATCACTGAAGTTAAGACGCATTAGTCATGATAAATACTTGAATGGGTGACCGCTAGTAAATTCGTATTCTAAGCTGCGAGCGACCCCATTTTTTTTTTTTTTATTTCGAAGAAAATATATTTTAATGTACTTGATTGTCTTCAATTTAAGCTCTTTTTCAATATTAATTACAATACAATTAAAACTGAAAATGTCTCCTCTATAAACTATTTTTTTCTGGAGTCAGAAAGGGCTCTTAATTCTGACTTCTTGAAGAACTCTTTTCTTGAAGTTAGAAAAAAGAGCTCTTTAAGAACTCTCTATGAAGTCCTGATTCACTCTTTAGGTGGCGCATTGGACGTACTCAAAACGTCTTGGAGACCTCATTTTGATCAAAATTCTGACGTCTAAATCTTAAATAAGAGTCCTTTGAGAACTGTAAAAGACGTCATATTGCTATCTGGGAAAGAACAAAACAAAAAACACGAGGGTAAATACTTTAAATCTTGTCCTGATATAAGACTTATAAATGATGCGGAATTGTTAAAAAATTAAAACAGAAAGAAAAGACAACAATCGACACAGAAATAAAAATTTCTTGACCAGAGAACAAAATTCTTGGCTCAAGAAAATTTTCGGGTGCCTAAAGGAAGATCGAAGTTGTGTAAAAATTTTTCTTTAAATTCTATATTCTTGGTGGAAGTAATTTTTTCTTAATTTAAATTATCATAAATACTTGATACAATAAATTTTTATATTTGATCAAGATTTTTGAATACTTTAGGGAAACAGCGCCATCGACTTCAGCTGAGAAAAAAATTTTTTCACCTTTTATATTATTTTAGCGTGCAATTATACGCATTGAATGAAAAAAATGATTCAATATTATTTGATCTTCCCATTTAACATATTAATCAATAAAAATATTAATGAAAATTTACTTCTATCAAGATATATAATTTTTTGGAGCAAGAGAAAAATTTTCTCAAGACAAGAAAATTTACTTCTATTAAAAACTAAATTTTTGGGAGCAAGAGGCTGAATTTTCTCCAAAACAACAAGATTTTCTTGACTTAAGTAAATTTTCTTGAATTAAGATACGTATTTCTTAAAACAAGAGAATTGATTTTGTTGAAATAAGTGAAAATTCTTGTGTCAAAAAAAAATTTTTTTTTTCGCTCAAGAAAATAATTAGGAAGAAAAATATTTTCTTGGCTCAAGTGAACTTTTTTTTCTGTGTAATTATAAAAAAGAATACAAAAATCTTGGATACCATACAGTATGGTGGTTTACAACCATACTCGCATAGCGATATCCGTAAAATATTTCTTACCGTTTTAGTACTACATGTATTGAGATAAATTTAATTTTTTTTAATTAATTTTTTAAGAAGTTTTTCATTAAAGTAATATGAAGATTCAGTGATTAGAAAAACAAAATTATTGAAAATATTTTTTTCTAAATATAGAGAATAAAAATTTTTTTTAAATTGGAAGTTGCTTGACCTTGACGTATAGGGAATAAATCACAAGGTCAACCCCTGCGCGTTACAAGGCGTGTAAAATTGCTTAACAAGTAATGCACAAACAACTTTAAACGCTTTACGATTAATCTTTGAAATGCTAGAATACAAATGCGATTTTAAGAAAAATATTTTTATATCATCTGTATTTAAAAAATATATATAATAAGCAATCACTTAGCAAATAATAAGTTGAAACTTTCTCACTCTTTTACAAGGTATTTAACCTTGATCAGACAGAAGAGGTCAGCCAAGAAGTATTAAGTATCAAGTATTAATGAATTATTTAACTGAGAATATTTAAATATTATAAAACATCTGAACCTATATATGACGATACACTGAGATTAGGTCATTCACTTGTGAATCTTGTTTATTTACCGATACAAGGCTTCATCTCCATAATTAATTCATGATTATCTTCGACTCTATTACACGGCAATCCCTTCCAAAGATTTCTGATATTAAGAGGTCAACTACCTATCAGATACTATATAAAGATCTTTAAATTCATATTATGGATTATTGCAGTTTGATATAAGTAAGAATGAACTTCATAAAAAACATCATCTTCATTTCTACAATTGCTGTTGTGGTATCAGTCGCTGAAAGGTATATAAAATTGATTTATTCAATAGTTGAATAATTATAACTATTATTAATAATAATTTCTATAATTTTCAGTTCAAAAAATGATGTTTCCCATATCTTTGTACAACGATTAAAACCATACATTTGTTATAAAAATGAAGTGTGCGATTTGTCAACCATCGATTCTTGGTACATTGAAGAATTCAAATACTGGGTCCAAAACAAAACCTATTTATGCCGCAACAACTATGATCAATTTCATAAAGACATATCACCAATTAGTGAAACATTGACTCAGATAAATTAAATAAAAAAAAATAAAATAATAATAATAAAACAACCAGTGAAAATAAATTAAGTTAAGCGACAATAAATAATGAGTGCAGTGATCTATTACAGACAGTCAAAATATCAGTTGGCTCGGTTGCTTTTACCACCGAGTACTTATTTTAAAAAATAACAACTAACCCCCAGGAGAAGTAAATAAGTGAAAAAATATGTGATGGATTTTTTATTCACGTGACTGCTTATCTTCTTATTTGTGAAGAATAAAATTAAGAATGCCGGCTGTTGCTAATTCGTCGCTGACGTACGAAATATTGATGTACCTAAACTCATTTTACTTCGGTATGTTCGCGGTCTGTGAGCTGGGGATGGGACTCTACAAAGCGACGAGTCTTCCAGGATCTAGTTCAAGCACAACCATCACCGAGTTTTCGCTCCTCCTGTTTCTGATTCTCACCGAGGGCGGACGAGTTTACCTGGGTAGAAAGGGGAACCTCACCGAGCGAGGACTCCCCATCTTGCTGGGAATCCTCCTGACGATACCCAGTGCTCTGGCTACTCTCTATTTCCTCGTCTGGCAGAGCTATGTCCTCAAGCTAGAGATGATCCTCTGTAGTATCCAGTTGGTCCTGCTTACTTCTGAACTCATCATCTCCGTCCTGTGCCTTATTGCCATTTTTCGTCCTCCGCTCTTTGAAGAATAAATTATAATTTATTATCAATTATATATTCATGCCACTTTATAATCATTATTATTATTATTTATTTATTATTATTATTATTATTATTGTAATAATATACGTTTGTAAAACCCCAGCATGTGGCCTGATCAATAATGCATTGTATATATACATATATATGTATACATCATGATGATTCATCGTCCAATGCTTTTACTTTTATTTTATTTTAAGTTAATGTTTATAAATTTCACAGATTTTTTGTTACAAATCATTCCAAGCATCATCGGATGTTCATTTCAAAATACAATCTTTGGTTTATTATCTAATCAGTCAAGTCGCGTTATGAGCCCTCCTTGTGTCTCTCTCTTATTAACGCGAGTCTGGTTAAAAAACAAAGAAAACAAGCCGGACTCATAACGCGATTCGACTGTATATTAGAGTAGAAATTGTTGTTATTATTATTATTATTATACTAAAGTTAGTCATGAAAATTAAATTAGCCATTTAAAAATTTTTATTAATTATTTTAGTGGAAAATAATTTTTAAAAAATAAAACAAACATTTTTTACATATAAAATGTTTTAAAATTTATACGTGCAATTTTTTAAAAATATTTTCTTAATTTTAATTTAATTAATAAAAAAAAATCAAAAATTGTTGAGTATCGGTTAATTTTATCGTTTTTTTTTTAATAATTAAATTAGAACAAAAGAATATTTTTTAAAAATTGCACTTGTAGTTTTTTACAAATGAAATTTTTTTTTTATAATTTTTTTAACAAAAAAAAAATTCTAAAAATTTTTCGGCTAACTTAATTTTCATGTTATTATGAAAATTAAAGTAGCAGATATTTAGAAATTTTTTTAAGAAATAAATTAAAAAATAAAAAATGCAATTTTGAAAAAATAATTTTTTGGAATAAATTTTTTTGTTAAATAAAATTAAAAAATTGTCAAGTGGCTGCTCTAACTTTAATATCATGTTATTATTATTATTATTGTTAATTTATTATTTATCATTTGGTTTTATTCAATTAATTTATTTATTTGTGTGCAAGTGTAATATATCGTCGAATAAACTATGAGTTATTAATCAATAACATTAATATTCCATTTTATTGAAATGAATTTACATAACTTAATATAGCTGGTTTGATTTTTATTTAAAAAATAAAAGATATTATTTGATATTAATAATTAATGATTAGTGATAAATTATCAATTATCATATTATTGTATCTACTTTACAAACATGTCATGTGCATGTTATTTTTTAATTCATTATCAATTGGCTAATAAAAATCATTTTAAATAAAATTTAATGCGTAAATTGCGAATCAACACTGCTTATCCCTATCTTCAATCATTTTGCACGATTGTTCTGCTTAGTAGGCGCCTTTTTTTTGTTATTATTATTTTTTTTTTACAAATAAATAGAAATAGAAAATAAATTTATAAAATTTGTACATTATTTTCAGCTAAAAAATATATTTAAAAAAAACTAGATAATCAATTTATGTTCTTTGAAGGACTAAGTACTTTTTTATAAAATACCATTGATTGAATATTCTATTATTGTCAGCTTAATTTAAATAAATTCCGTGAAATAATACAGAGAATTTTTAATTAAGCAAAAAGCTTAATTAAATTATAAAAATATTTCTGTTGCTGTTAACTATTAGTTAATTTAATGAAAAATAATTTATACTATACTGATTATTATTATCAATTTTATTAATAATTAATCTTTGATATTTATATTCTCAGCTCGGTGCTTTTTCAACGCTCGCAGCCTGTTGCGGCAATAATTCCGTAAAAATATTGAACCGAAGACTATAAATATTCCAATTATTCCGAATATCGTTATTTGATGTTGATATATCAGACAGGACAACAAAATAGCGAGGCCCTATAATGATAAAAAAAAAATAAGATTTAGTAGATCTGTGATGAAAAAAATTTTTAGATAATAGCAAATATAATCCAGATTATACTAAATGATTTTTGGATTATACTCAGTGTAATCTCCAATTTTACTCAGTAATTTTTTTGGTTATACCGCGTAAGATTACACTAGATATAATCTAGTGTCATTTTGTTCTTTCCGTGTAAAATATAAAAAAAAAATAAATTACCTGGCGTATTGTCATGATAATTGAAAATGTAACAGCTCCAAATTGCGCTATTGTATAAAATAAAAATAATTGTCCGGTCGCGGAACATATTGATATGAGTAGACAGTCTATCAGAAAAGATGGGAACTGAAAAAAATATAATAATTAATAATTTAAAATTTTAAATCAAAATTAATTAATTTAAAATAAAATTGCAAGTGGCTAATTAATTATCTTGAGTTAATATTGACATTTTTACAGAGCGTAATTAATTTTTAATAAAAATTGAGAGTAGAGTACCTTGATAAGAAAATAGAGAGAATGTGTAAATCCAGATTGTTGGAGTAATGACGTTGCTGTAAGTAAACAGGAAAATAAATTAACTCCACACATCATTTGAATACTAGTTGGTCCATATTCTTTAGAAACTGCTTCTTGCCAATTGCTTGTAAAACTGTCGAGTACCATGTAACCGGCAAGTAAAATTACACCTGATATAGTTGTTACTTTATCTGCAAGTAATTTATTATAATTTACGCTTAATTTTATTAAGTAGAAAATAATAAAGTAATGAAGATAAAGCTACCATTAACTGTTTCGGTGCTTCCCAGCATGAATAGTGTCATACCGAGGGAAATCAAACTGGCCGTCACGTATTCGTAGTACTCGTATGTTTTACGAGATACTAATTTTCCCATTATCATCACGGGAATTATCTTAGAAGCTTTCGCTAATACCTAGCCAAAAATTATTAATTAATTTAAATAATACTAAAGTTAGCCGACGTTTTTAATTTTTTTTTTCATTAATTAATTTAGAATAAAATATTTTTAAAAAATTGCACTTGTAATTTTTAAAGTTTTTTACAAATTCAATTTTTTAATAATTTTTTCAATGAAAAAAAAAATTCTAAAAATTTTTAAATGTCGGCTCAATTAATTTTCATTTTCATAGACAGTATTTTTGAATAATTTTTTACCTGAGTAGGAAAACTAACAAACTTAAGTGCCTCATATTGACACCAGCTGCTTAAAATATTAGACAAAGAACAATAAGAATATTTGTACAGTGGCGTTATATGACGTGGCTGCTTTCTGATAATTAAATACAAGCCCGATATTGTAAAAGCGAGAATTCTATTTACAAATACTAAAAATTGCGAATCTTTAAAGTGTTCTTTTTCGCCAATTGAATTAACATATTCCTGAAAATATATTATCATTATTAATATTATAAATTTGAAGTTCAAAAAAATTTTATTATAAAAAATTTAAACTTTACTTGAGTCATTATTTTTTCCTGGAAGTATCCCCATGTCAAATAACTTATTTGTAAACCTGAAAAACAATATAATAATAAAAATGTTTCATTTTTAATGAAACGCTGCTCTTGACTAGCTTTTGACGCAGGAATGTAATCAGTTGTATCAAGCAGGCCAGATTCTCCGCCGCCTGAAATACATCTATGGACTAGTTTTGACATTACTCCAGTTCCTGAAAAATAATAATCATTAAAATAAATTATCAAAATTAGTTTAGCAGATATTTGATAATTTTAAAAATTTTTCTAACAATTAAATTATGACAAAATAAATTCACATGTAGAAATTTGAAAAAATTAAATAGGTATGCAATTTTTTAAAATAAATTTGCTTGTTAAAAAAAATTGAAAAATTGTCAAGTGACTTTTTTTGAATTTTTTTGAATAATAAAATAGGTCTAAAAAATTATTTATAAAAAATTGCACTTATAATTTTTTAGAGCCTCTAAAGATGGAATTTTTTAAATAAATTTTTTTTTTGTTAAAAATTTTCTAAAAATTATTAGATGTTTCTCAAAATTCAGTATCATAATAATAATAATAAAAAATTATAAACTAGTTTAAATATAATATAATAATTACCAGCTCTCTGCAGGTACTTGCTGTGCCTAACATATTTATACACTAAATATCCAGGTAATAAAATAGTTGTGTATCCTAACAAATTAAGACTCAACCTGATAATCCAATTGTATGAACCGGAATTCAGTAACTCGTGTTGATTCTCAGTTAATGATTTAACTATTTGTGTCGTGCCATAAATTACTCCTATTGACAGCACTACAAGGACACTGCAACAAGTAATAAATCATTAAAATTAAATAAAATAAATATGTTTATAATAAAAAATATATACGTACCATATTATTATATTTCCTACATAATTTCCCATAATTACAACTCTGTTATTTAAACTTACTTAATAAACAATAAATAGTGTTAGAACGTATGGAGGTTATTACGTTCATAGAGAATAACGTAATAACTATCTCAAGGCTTCTGTTTATGTTTTAACATTGTTGGCTCATTTGTTATTATTTAAATAATAATTATCTAGCTGCTGAACTACAGTTGACTTGTTAGTTTGTTTGTTGATTAAATATTCCATGAGCGAGATTGAAAATTCAGAGTAATACACTATTTAGATTTCAGTCACTAGCTTGAAGGAAACTACTGTCTCACTGTCGGTACAAATTAAACGTCAAACTAGTCAAACTCCCTCAACAATTTTACCGGCTAATTTATTCAAGGATATATATATATATATAATAGGTAAGTATATTTTTATATAAAATTATGACACTGCTGACGAACATAAAAAATTTTTTACCAATGAAATTATGATAAGAAAATGTAATCAAAATTTCCACACGTGGAAATTAATAATAACGAGCAATCTTGCAGTCACTATGTGACTTGTGAACTATAAATAAATAAAATTTTGCTTTAGTAAATAATGAATTTTGTAAAATTGCACTGTACTTTTTTAAATATTGAAATTTTTAAAGATATAAGGTCATTTCGATGTTACACTAATCAAGAGTTTTCATTTGAGTACCCACATGCATTTTTGATATATTTTTCATATATACATATATATAAAATATATAAATATATGAAAAATTGATGTGGGTACTCAAATGAAAGGTCTCAATGAGTATAACGTCGGGGTGAACTTATATCTTTAAAAATGTCAATAGATCACAAGATACAAGGTCATTTCTTCATTATTGATATTTTTGAAGATATAAGCTCATCCCGATGTTACACTAATCAAGAGCTTTCATTTGAGTACCCACATGCATTTTTGATATATTTTTCATATATACATATATATAAAATATATAAATATATGAAATATATAAAAAAATGATGTGGGTACTCAAATGAAAGGTCTCAATGAGTGTAACATCAAGATGAGCTTATATCTTCAAAAATGTCAATTCACCAGATACAAGGTCATTTCTTAATTGTTGATATTTTTAAAAATATAAGCTCATCCCGATGTTACACTCATGAAAAGCTTTCATTTGAATACCTACATGCATTTTTGATATATTTTTCATATATACATATTTAGATATATATAATATATATAACATATATAAATATATCAAAAATTGATGTGGGTACTCAAATGAAAGGTTTCGACGAGTGGAACATCGGGATGAGCTTATATCTTTAAAAATGTCAATAGTTGACAAGCTAGAAGGTCATTTCTTAAAAAATGTATTAATGAGTAAATAAAATAAATAAACTACCGCTTTGACAAGTAAATTCTATTTATTTTAGTTTGTTATTTACAATGGAAGTATGTGACAAAATTTACAACATACTCAAATTTATAATATTCCTTAAATATATATATTTATACTAAATATATATTATTTATAAACCTTTTTTATAATTTAAATTTATAATTAGATACATAAAATTATTTAATAATAATAATAATGTAACAATATTACTCAATATGTATTTTATACAAATATTTTTAAGTATAAATAAATTTAATTTATTAGTATGCAATTCAATTCAAACGATATGTTATATTGTTATTATTATTATTATTATTTTTAATATTATCAGTGACTAAAACATTTGGCTGGAGAAAATCTTAGCTCACTTGATATTAAATAATCCAGTTACATAATAAAATATTAAAACAATGAATAATAATTGGTGATTAGCGTAATTAACTGATATAAAAAAGCGGTCAAACTTTAACAATTGTAAAAATGCATGTGCAAGTATTGGTTTGTAAAAAAAATGTTGGTGATGCCAATGTCTTGATTAAAATATTCCGATTCATTTAAAACTATTTACACTTTACTTTATTTTATTGAGGAATGATTTTATTTATTATTATTGTTATTATTTGTCTAGGTATTATATAAAGATTTATGAATGAACTTCGCTAACTGTACAAACGCTTTCCAGGCGCCACTTCTGAGGTACAAAGTTATCAAATTGCTCGAGTCTCGCCGATAAATCTAGCCGCGACGCTAAGTCATAAGTACCAGGAGATGATATTACTGCTTGCAATTTAACTGAGTGTCGCTTGTAAGACTCTATTTGACAGCAAATCGTTGTATGTCGTGCGTAACGAAAGTATGTTGATGCTTGAGGTACATAAAGTTGTGATTTTACACTTGGCAAGTATAATTGACTGTAAAAAATTAATTATTAATTCATAAATAATTAAATATTTTAAATTAATTTATAAATTTATTATCTTTAACAATCGGTCAAACGTCAATTAAATATTCATTGAACTGATTTTTTTATGTACTTAAGCAATAATCATCAATAAATTCTTTTCAATTACTTTATTTACAATAAAATAATTTATAGACTAAACAATACTAGCAAACTTGCAGTCACTATGTGCTTGCTGTGATTTGTAAACTATACATAAAGAACATTTTGCTTTATTAAATAATGAATTTTGTTAAATTGCACTGTAATTTCTCAACTATTGACATTTTTAAAAATATAAGCTCATCCTGATGTTATACTCATCAAGAGCTTTCATTTGAGTACCCACATCAATTTTTATATATATATAATGTATACAAATATATAGAAAAAATGATGTGGGTACACAAATGAAAAGTCTGGGTGAGTGTAACATCAGGATGAGCTTATATCTTTAAAAATGTCAATAGTTCACTAGACACAAGGTCATTTCTTAATTATTGATAATTTTAAAGATATAAGCTGATCCCGATGTTACACTCATCGAGACCTTTCATTTGAGTACCCACATAGCATTTTTTATATATATGGTATTTGTAAAATATATGAAAAATTTATGTGGGTACTCAAATGAAAGGTCTTGATGAGTGTAACATCGGGATGAGTTTATATCTTTAAAAATATTAATAGTTCACAAGATACAAGATAATTTCTTAATTATTGACATTTTTAAAGATATAAACTCATCCCGATGTTACACTCACCAAGAGCTTTGATTTGAGTACCCACATGCATTTTCATATATTCATATATATAAATATATCAAATATATGAAAAATTGATGTGGGTACTCAAATGAAAGGTCTCGATGAGTATAACATCAGGATGAGCTTATATCTTAAAAAATGTCAATAGTTCTCAAGATACAAGGTCATTTCTTAATTATGTGTCTAGAGATAAAGAATTTTCGAATGCAGCCTAATTACTTAATACATAAATTGACTATCAGTGAAAATGAAATGAAACCTTGAAATTGCACAAATTCAAATTAAGACCTTTTCAATGACACTAAATTTCACTAAAAACGATTTTATCATTTGACTATCCTAAAGTCAAAACTTTTCCTTATCCTTTTAATAATATAGACAGTAAAAAAAAATATCTAAACTCACCTACTAGTTCCAATAGTTTTAATTTGCACATAGACCTTCGACTGCGAATTATTCTGCAAATTCAAAGTAACAGGCACAATACAAATCTGATTCCTCTCAAATTCATGCTCAATTTCCCTCGAATGCCCCAGAGAATACGTGATAACATTTTTCTGCAGCTCGCTTTCATCCACAGCATCCTTCTTAACAACACTATTCGAATCCGGAATATTCCTATCAGGCCCAAAGATCTTCAACCTCGTCGAATACTCACTTGGCTCCGTCAAAGCATCTTCCGGATGCTTGTACATTTTATTAACCAGCTCTAAATCAACATGATGCTGCCCAGTAGTCTCCCTAACCACCGTCTCTCCCTCCATGACCTTAGCCCGCCACCTCAAGATCATCGTAGCTCCCAACTTAACAGTATCCACCAGCGGTGAATTAAAACCTAAAATTTGATTACTCTCCCCCGCTTCCTGAGAACTAAATCTTTTCTCCACAAACTCCGCATAAGGAGTATTGGCAATCGACGTTCCATCGGATTCACTCAACGAGACATCAGACCAGACACTCTCATCATTAAACCTCCTCGATAATTTCAGCAACAAATGACAAGTTTCTTGTGGCTGAATTTTATACTTAAAACTGTCGACCGCCGGAGCTACCAATTTCCAGCTCTCGCTCTTAAGCGACATTTTCGTCAAAGTAACTTCATTGCGCAGAGGCTCATGCGACTGGTTACTATTTTTCACCTGTACCACCAAATTCATCGTCGGCAAATTGTCCTTAGTAACAGCACTGGGTCTTACAATTGTCTTTATCTCAACCGAATTACTCACTTGCAATTGCCAAGAGTGTCTCGAAACTCGGTACCTTGGTACACTTTTACCTCTCGGATTTTCATAATAAAATAACAAGTCCAATCTATGACTACCCTTTTCAGCAGGCGCTCTTATCCACAAAGGAACTTTCAAACTTTCTCCAACAAAAATTTCCTTTTCTGAAACAATTCTCGTTACACAATTATTTTTTACTAAATTATTACTAATATTTGAATCTAATCCCCGTTCTAAACAAAATAATCTTGCATCAGTAGACCCGACAAAAATATTTGTCAACGGAGCGCTTCCAATATTTTTAAGAGTAACTTCAACCCGTTGCATTTCTCCACAGAGCATATCAGTAATTACTTTAGTAAAAGAAACTTGCATAAAAGGCGCTTTGTCAACAACATTAATATCAAGCCTATAATCAACTCCGTAAAAAATAGCGTCAGGCTTTTCCTTAACATTCTTCAATTTGGGTCCTCTGATTTCAAACAATCTTTTCCCGTGAATCATAATTGAAGGATTCACCACCGGTAGATCATTAGTAGCACCGTTGGCATTCGCTAGGGAATAACTAATCCCTAAAATCTTTAATTCGCCCATCTGAGTTGGGGTACAACTTAGGAAAACTCTTAATTTAGAACTCGGTTGAAGAACAACTGACTCTACAACTTTAGTATCAACAGAACTAAAATCACTGAGCGAGTTTTCAGACATAGTCTCATTACTTACAGTCTGTCCGTCTTTAGTAAACGACCATATAAGCTTAATTTTATAAAGCGGGATTGAGATCCTCAGAGGATTGTGTAGTTCTACTGACAAGTGAATAGGCTCCTCCACAATAGCATTTGGCTTTGAAGTATTGTTACTTTTTTTAGAATAAAGCGCTACAGAGGGTTTAAAAATCATCGGAGCGCTGCCCTGAGCTTCTGTAACAAGAGTTTCTTCTAATTTAGACCACCTTGAAGGAACTTCAGTGTCATCTTGATCAAATAAATCATAATCTTTATCACCAATTGGTCCTAATAATACTTTAATTTCGTTGCCGTCAATAAGAGGTAGAGGTAGAATTGGAAGTCCATTAAAATGCGCGGGTACTTGCTGGATAACTAAATTATTAATATGTAAAAATTCACGGAGAAAAGCGGCCTGTTGAACAGCCGGCTGTTTACTACAAGGACTGAGAAGTTTCTCAAAAGCTCTAACAGATTCTTCAACTTGCTTCAGCGAAGCCGCTTGCCGGCCTATTGTGAAGTGGATGTGATCTTCTGCGAGGGCCCAGCCTTTGTTGGAGTAAACTTGGTAGGCTTGTTGGTAACATCTTAAAGAATGTTTCCTCTGGCCGGCTTTGGAGAACCTGTAAAGTGTAAAGTGTCAGATTTATAAATCTATAGTACTTCAACATTTAGAGTATTGTAGTAGTACAATCATGATTAACCCTTTAGAGTCAGAGGATCTTGAAACGTCTTCGCGTGAGAGTAGTGGGGAGAGCGCAAATCCATAGTAAGACCCAAGAGTGGGGTTTCAAGGTCAGACTCTAAAGGGTTAACTACAATGAAAATAACTTGAAGACCTTACAATTACTCCAAAATAGGGCAATGCGCGTAATTCTGAATGTTAATAAATATACTCGCATTGACTCAATGCTGGATAAATTCCATTGGATGTCGATAAGACAAAAAATTTGATACAACACGTGTCTATTTATTTATAAAATTAAATATCGTCTTTACCCGAACTATTTATACGAAGAATTTGATTTCAGTGAATCTTATTATGAGACGCGTGCAGGACAGTTCAAAATTAAAAGAACAAGAACAATAGCTGCTGAAAAAACTATCACTTACCGAGGATTAGTTTGGTATAATGAATTACCACGTGACATAAGATCAGAAAATAAATTAAATATATTTAAAATTCAATTAAAAAATTATATAAAAGACAATGTAGGCTATTTTGTTAAACTGAATGAAAAAAAATTGTAAATAGTATGTAAAATTTTATACTGTAAATTGTAAATAGCTATAAGCTAAATAAACATTGTTATTATTATTACCTGTGACCGGCCAATACTGCGTGGAAGGCGTACTTATGCATCATTTTTGAAGAAATAAAACAGTAGGCCGCTTGTTCGAGCAGCAGAGCTGATCTTAGGTCAGAATCTTCACTGGTCATCCTAATCAGCTGCTTGGCAGCGTCTCCGTACAAGTTACGGCCTTTTAGACACTCGGCGCTGAGGATCGTCGCGCGAGTTGCGAACTGAGGCATCTTGCAGGAGTTAGAGTAAGTTAAAATTGCATCGTCCATGTACTCTACTGTCTTTCTGGTCATTTCTCCTTGCATGAACGCGCTTAGTGCTGCCATTTCTAGAGCCCCGGCGTAGTAAAGCCAAGCTTGGTCCGCGGCAAAGTCACGCTTTGCGCTGTGATAAGCTTGATAGGCTAGCGTGTAATGACCGAACATGAAGCAAAGATCTCCTAGCCGACGTAATTGTAATTCGGAGGACTCTAAAGAATAAATTACCGCGTTACTTGGTGCAGATCCTGGAGCTCCGGGCTTGCTGGTACCGAACCAACGCTTGGTTGCGCTGAATAGTGATCGGCTTACGCCTTTTTTATTAGAAATGACGTCATTTAATAAGCCTATTTGCTTCTCAACGTAAGGCAGGAGGCTTTTTATACAAAATTCTGTTACTAAACTTCTAATTCTTTCCAGGTCTTGAGTTGATAGTCTTGCACCGTGCTGCGCAATAGGGCGACTTGGAGAGTCTGCCCATACATTGGCGTTTATTGGAGAGCCTGTTAATGGCTGATATTGGGATTTTGTGGCGGAGTCTGAGAAAGAACTGAAGCGCTTTTCGCTGTCGGGGCTCAAGGGATGGATTGTTACGGGGACGACTTCCTGAGCTACTTCTACGGGAATTGATACTACTTCAGAGATCTCGGAGGATAGGGATATTTTGTCAGTGATGTCGGGAGATAGTAGAACTGGGTTTTGAGGCGCTACTGGGGTTCCAGCTTGGCTGGAAGGCTTATCAGTTCCGCTGGTCACTTGATTAGGCATTGCGCTTACTCCTCCGGTGTCTGCGGGGGTTCGGGGGCTACTACTGTGGTCGCTGCTTGTTAAGTCGGTGTATTTTACTAAGAACTGGCTCCAAGGGTCCGGGAGGTACATGTTGTCATCCATTTGACCTGGTGGTCGCGAGTTCATTTGTAAGAGGAAACAGTTGTTGGCGTCGTATAGGTTTTTCATCTCTGTAAACACCGATTCGGCTCTAAAAATTAAATAACAGTTTATTTAATGGAAATTTTGTTATTTACAGGATATTTGTCTTGTTAAAAAAAAAAAAATGGTTCTATAACAATTCAACCGATGATATTTCAACCGCAACATGTGGAATTTATTAAATTACAAAATAATAGTATCCACTTGACATTCGGAACAGAGAATAGAGTAAGGAATGCAGAAGGGGTAAGAGAAGAAAAGATTGGCAATAAAAAGAGAAAAGTGAATATCAAAGGATAAATTAAGTGTTATCAACAAATAATATTTTTAAATCCACAAGAAATCGAGTCCTTATTTTCCCCACTAAGAATTTAAGTAATATTTTTAAATGTTTGAAATATTTAATATTTATTTAATAATTATTACCTTTTTTTAAAAAAAAGGCTTAAAAATTTCATTTTCTAACATCTAACTAATATTTATATATGATAAAAAAAAAAACTTGTATAAAACTGTAAAGTTATGCAAATAAAACACAACAATAATAATAGTATCCGCCTGACAATTGAACCCCATGACAAATAATTCATGATTAATTTTCAGATAATTTTACAACGTGGTGTCCTTTTATCATGTATTTTGTGTGTATTTATTCGATACTGGGATCAATTAAAATTTCCACGGTTGAACTATTAGATTGAAATTTTTACGGTTGAACTCTAATCCGGTTGAAATGTCCGCAGTTGAAATGTTACGGTTTAAGTATCGCGGTTGAAATGTCGTCGGTTGACTAGTCTTGGCATAAAAAAAACAAACTTGGCTTTTTCATCCTGAGCTCCGTCATAAATTAAAATGTAATATCTCAATGCATTGTTGTTGAACCATTTTGGCAGCTTTCCAGGAGTACTCTGATGCAATTGAGCAGCCATTTGTTGAATTTTTTCCAAAGGATTATCATCAGCTGTCGATACAACAATCATGCAGGCTAAAAAATGTTTGGTGAATTCATGGTCGGAGGGAAATTGCACGTTGAGAAACATCTCGCGCCAAGATTCGAACCAAGGAACTGACAGTGGAATGTCCAGGTCAGTGGATCCTATTCTTATGGAAGTAGTACGTTCACATTGCTCTGAACTTACAGAGTCATTGAGCATTTTTCTCGCCACACTGGGCTCTGGTGGTTGGCCATAAATGTCCTGAATTGACAGACGAAGATTTCGCACCGCGATTGTTGATCCTTGAGGATCTTTTATGTGACCTGTGAGAATGAAATTATTGTTATTGGTCATTGTTAATAAATTTATAACGATTAAATAATGAACATATATCGACGGTCTAATTAGCAATTTGTCTAATTTCTTATTTTTTAGAGGATGATTTTTTAACATTTTGACGTAGCAATAATCCACAAATTATATAAATTATTTGAATGATTCAAACCTAAATACTATATCTCTATTAGATAATAATGATATTAAATGGTTTTTTAAAGTGATAATAAATTTTGAACTAATTGTTTTTTTTTCGTACAAATAAAAGATTCTCTAAAATGGAGTTAGACAATTAGCTAATTAGAACGTCGATATGAAAATTAAGTTAGCCGACATCTGAAAATTTTTATAATTTTTTTTATTGAAAAAATTATTTAAATAAAATTAAAAAAAAATTGACATATAGAAAATTTGAATAGTTTCTAAGTGCAATTTTTTAAAAATAGGTTTTTACTTATAATTTTTAGTGATTGAAAAAAATCAAAAATTGTTGAATGTCTGCTAACTTTAGTATCATTGAGCATATTGAGGTCTGATTATTTATTTGAGGTATTGTAAATAATAGATGTAGATATTTTTATAAATATACAGCATCTATTAGGTAAACTTTTATTATTGTACCATTGCCAATTATTTTAACTCTAAAAATTACCTTCAGTTGTAAGATTACAAAAAGGTTGTAATAATTCAATAAATGACAAATTATTTTTCTGACAGACAGCATCAGCAGCTGCCGAACAGACGGCACCGATTTGAGGCGAAAATGCATTGCTGATAAATTCACGTGGTGTTAATTTACACTGAGCCATTATTTTAACTAATATAATTATTAAATAACCAACGCTCTGCTAAAAATATCAATACTTATCAATTATTGTTTCATCAGCAAGTACATTACTCCAATAAAATTATTATTGTCATCTACAATAATTGATTACATATTAACTAGTCAATTATTAATATTTTTATATAAATAGCACCAATATCTTCAAAAAAATTTAAATTAATATATATTTTAAACAAAACATTTTATTATGACTTATCACTGACAGGCACCCTACCCTTGTGATCACATAGGTTAATGGATCACAAAATTAGCTATTTATTACTATTGTTATGATGTGATCACATATTTAGTCGGCTGATAATATATCAATGACTGTTAGCCATCTGTTGTTAGACTTGAATTACTCTGTGACAATTGTGGTTTGTTGGAGTTGGGAGTATAAAATTACTACTGGCGCCATCTGGTGACAAATATGTTAAATAAAAATTATTTTTTGCTTCTTTCTGGGTATTTTGTTAAATTCGCGGGAAACAGTGAGTTGTTGGTGCCGGTTGTGTTTGTGTTTTTATAATTACAATCTAAATTGGTAAATTTCATTGAAAGTAATTAATATCTAAATTTATAACTCATCGCCATGGGTATTCTTGGCTTATCAAAGGTGATCGCTGATATTGCACCCAGTGCAATAAAAGAAAGTGAACTAAAACATTATTTTGGTAAGTTAACCTCTGTTTACTCGACATTCACATAAATTATGAATAATGATAAATTTAGCAGATATTTAATAATTATTAGAATTCTTTTAACAAATAAATTATGACAAAAAAAATTGACATGTAGAAATTTAAAAAAATTAAAAATACAATTTTTTAAAAATAATTTTTTGGAACAAATTTAAAAAAAAAAAAAATTCTCTAATGACTGCTAACTTTAATGTCATAAATTATGAAGGAAAAAATCTTTCAAAAATTATATCATTAAAGTTAGCCGACGTTTTTAATTTTTTGATTTTTTTTAACTATTATTAGAACCTCAAAATATTTTTTAAAAATTGCACTCACAGTTTATCAAGTTTTTTACAAATGAAAATTTTGTTTTACTTTTCTGTAATAATTTATTCAATTAAAAAAATTCTAAAAATTTTTAAATGTCGGCTAACTTAATTTTCATAAACTAATTTAATAATTTTTTTAACAAATAAATTGTTATTTTTAGCAAAAAAAATTAACATGTAAAAATTTTAACAAATTAAAAATGCAATTTTTAAAAATAATTTTTTAAGACTAATTTGTTTATTGGTAAAAATTAAAAAATTGTCAAGAGAGTGCTAACATAAATGATATTACTAAAATTAGCCGACGTTTTTAATTATTTTTCAATAATTAAATTAGAAAAAAAAATTTTTAGATGTTGGCTAACTTAATTTTCATACATTAATGTCATAATTACAGGTCGTAAAGTAGCAATTGATGCTTCTATGTGCTTGTACCAATTTTTAATTGCTGTGAGAAGTGAAGGAGCACAATTGACATCAGCTGATGGTGAGACGACGAGTCACTTGATGGGAATGTTTTACAGGACCATCAGGCTTGTAGACAATGGAGTTAAACCTCTGTATGTTTTTGATGGCAAGCCCCCTAATTTGAAGGGTGGAGAGCTGGCAAAACGTGCTGAGAGACGTGAGGAAGCTCAAAAAGCTCTGGAAGCTGCTGAGGAAGCTGGTAATGCTGAGGATGTTGATAGATTCAACAGACGGTTGGTGAAAGTTACTACCACTCATGCTGCAGAAGCTAAGCAGCTTCTTACTCTGATGGGGATTCCTTATATTACTGTAATTGTTTTTTTTTTTTTTAGCTGGTTAATTTGATTAATAGTTTTACTAATTAATTATTATTTTTACTGATACATTAAAGGCTCCGTGCGAAGCTGAAGCTCAATGCGCAGAGTTGGTGAAGTCTGGAAAAATATACGCGACAGCAACTGAAGATATGGATGCTTTGACATTCGGTAGTAACATTTTACTTCGCCGATTGACTTTTTCAGAAGCAAGAAAAATGCCCGTGCAAGAAATTCACCTCGACAAAGTACTTGCGGAGATGGAGTTGAATAAAGATGAATTTATAGACCTGTGTATCATGCTGGGGTGCGATTACACGGGAAGTATCAAAGGTATTGGCCCGAAAAGAGCTGTCGAGCTGATTAAAACTCATCGGTGCTTGGAGAAAATTCTTGAAAATATTGACACTAAAAAATACTCCGTACCTGAAGACTGGAATTATAAAGAAGCGAGAGAGCTGTTCAGGAATCCGGAGATCACTAAGGCAGAAGAGGTTGACTTCAAGTGGGGAGAACCCGATGAAGAAGGTCTTGTTAAGTTTATGTGTGGTGATAAACAGTTTGCTGAAGACAGGATCAGGAATGGCTGCAAAAAACTCATGAAAGCCAAGGGAGCGTCTACTCAAGGACGGCTGGATTCGTTCTTTAAAATTATTCCTAGTACAACTCCTTCTAAACGCAAGGTAGTTATTAAAAATACTATTTTTTTTTATTAATTAGAAAATTTATCTTGTATAATCGATATTATTAAGAGAATAAGAAAAATTTTGTCTCCAAGATATGATAAGTAATCATACAATGATAAGTATTTAGGCTGCATTTGAAAATTCTTTATTTCTAGATACATAATTAAGAAATGACCTAGTATCTTGTCAACTACTGACATTTTTAAAGATATAAGCTCACCCCAACATTACACTCATCGAGACCTTTCATTTGAGTACCCACATCAATTTTTCATATATTTATATATATATGTATATATGAAAAATATATCAAAAATGCATGTGGGTACTCAAATGAAAGCTCTTGATGAGTGTAACATCAGGATGAGCTTATATCTTTAAAAATATCAATAATTAAGAAATGACCTTGTATTTTGAGAACTATTGACATTTTTAAAGATATAAGCTCATCCCGATGTTATACTTATCGAGACCTTTCATTTGAGTACCCACATCAATTTTTCATATATTTATATATATTATATATATGTATATATGAAAAATATATAAAATTATATCTTTAAAAATATCAATAATTAAGAAATGACCTTGTATTTTGAGAACTATTGACATTTTTAAAGATATAAGCTCATCCCGATGTTATACTTATCGAGACCTTTCATTTGAGTACCCACATCAATTTTTCATATATTTATATATATTATATATATGTATATATGAAAAATTTATCAAAATGCATGTGGGTACTCAAATGAAAGGTCTCGATGAGTGTAATGTCGGGGTGAGCTTATATCTCTAAAACCGTCAATATTTAAGAAAGTACAGTGCAATTTAACAAAAGTAATTATTTATTAAAGCAAAATTTTATTTACTCATAGTTCATAAGTCACGAAGGTCACATAGTGACTGCAAGGTTACTAGTAAATCACTAAATTAATTTTAATTTCAGGCTGACGATAAAAAAGGTCCGGCAAAAAGAGGTAGAGGTGCTGGAGGAAGTAAATTCCGTGGCAAGCCCAAGTAATTTAAAACACTTATCTGCATTCCTATTAAATTTTTTTTTTTACTCTGTACTTATTGCTAATTTTTTGATGTCTAAATAACAATTAATTTATAAAAAAAAATTATTAATGACAATAGATTTATTTCGTAAAATAAATTGTAGATATTTATAATAAACTTTCAACATCCCTTATACAATACAACAATCGCGATAAAAAACTATCGCGACTCAAAAGACTGTACATGTGGACTGAGTTGATCGATACAAACATGATTCACCTTAATTAATTTTATAATCACCATTTAGTTACTCTGTCAATATATTATAATATAAATATATAATAATAACCAAGAAGACATTGAGCAGTCATCTAAATTTAATAATCGTACTACCAATCGCATCTGGGTCTAGGACATGTTGTAACGCCTGCTCAATATGATTAGGCCGGAAGGCAGCACCCACGACACTCTGCAATTGATCTGCGTCTACTAACTCACGTAGAGTCTCCAGGTAAGACGGTTTTATCTTCGAGCCCTCGTTCCACTGGTTTATATTCCTTCCAAACACATACTGGACCAGTAGTTTTATTCTTACACACCCGGCAAACAGACTCCCGGATACGAATCCGAATGAATCAGAAGCCAAGTGTTCTGGGACTGTCGATACAAACGATCCATAAGGCATCAATTGTCTCTTTAAAGCTCGATAATCGATTGGATGGTCTTCGGTGTAAAATATTGCATGATATCTGTGATTAGAATTTAAACATCGTCTTACTTGGTTCGTAATTATTTTTAAATTAATATACACAGTATGAGCATAAGAAATATATAACAAAGTGGATATTAATAAAGAAAACTTACTTATCATGAAGTTCTAATTCTTTATAAATATCGCAATCATTTGACGAGATGATGTCATCAGCTCCCAGGGCTTTTATAACTTTGGCGGACTCTAATTTACAGATCACTGTTACATGTCCACCCCATAATTTTATCAATTGAATTAAAATACATCCTACTGGTGTTGATCCTCCATAAATTAACACTCTAAAATAATTTTATTTGTGATTTAGAAAAAATTTACTACAAAAATTTAACAATAATATTATTATTTAATAATAATAATAATAATGGGTCAGATAAAAGACTCAGTTATTGACATTGGCCTAGTTGTTTGACACTTGCAATTTTATTTTAATTAAAAAAAAATGTTCTCAAAAATTATCTTGAAGTTTATAATTCAAAAATTATATTTATTAATTTATTAGAGTTGTTTTTTTTTTTTTAATTAAAATAAAATTGCAAGTGCCAATAATAATAATAATAATAATAATAATAACCTTTTATTTTGAGCATTTCCTTCTTCAATAATAGATTCGTTGACTAAAGCATTCCAAGCAATACACCCGCTGTAAGGCATACAAGCCGAAGCTTCAAAAGTTATCAATTTAGGCTTCTTGGCTACTTGATTTTCGGCCACCACTAGGTACTCAGACATGGTACCAGAGGCCCAAGATGGTACCGCCAAAAATACCTCGTCTCCTACGTCAAATCCAAGGACACTCGGACCAATCTCAACGACTATTCCCGCGCAGTCTCGTCCAAGCACTACTGGCAGTTCTTTCTGCTGCTCAATACAAATTATAGACTAGAATATTAATAATTAATAATTAATTCCATTCCATTCAAAGTATGAGGCACTTACTCCAGAATTCAATATTCTACGGTACGCTTTTGAGTATCCTGAGCATATTTTAGCGTCCACTACATTTACTGATGCTGCTTTCACTTGGATTAGCAATTCGTTTGATCGCTGTATTGATGGTACTTCCGCGTCGTCAATTAACGAGACTCCCTGTAATAAATAATAAGTATTAAAAAATTTGATAAATCAACGAATAAATTAAGGAGCACAACTAATGTGAAATTTTTAAAAAGTCGATTTTTTTTTTCATATTTCAATAAGTCATATCTTTAAAAATAATATACTAAAATTATAAATCGATATCTTAAATAGTTTTTGAGTAAAAGTCATTTCAAAAATTTTACTATGTATCCTTAAAATATGTATAAAAATATCCTTAAAATTTTAAAACAAGTGATACAATAGTTATTTTTTTTTTAATTCCAAAAATCACCCTTTTTTAGGCTGTCACACTAAGTGTGCTCCTTAATAAATAAATAATAATAAAATCAGTACCTCTACTCCAGCATAGTGATGACATATTATAGCTTTCATATAATGTATACGTTTGACTTTTTGCTTCCAGTTTAATCCAACATTATATCCAATAAAAATTCCAATTGCTAGGCCTATTGTGCAAAAAGCTACGTCTCTCTTTGATACTAAAATTTATTAATTAATAACTCAATTTTTTTTTTTATTTCAAAAGTCAATAAAAGAAAAATTTTAAAAAGCCATTTCTTCTTTTATATTAAATATTTTTTCAAGTAATTAAACATGATAAATAAATATTAATGTCAAAAAAATTACCATCACTCGATTGAAAGCCTCCTAATTGTCTATAAAAATCCCGGAAGTTAATCCTCGCGCTGTAATAACCAAAATGAATATTATCATACGCTCTGTGGTACAACGAAGCTGTAAAAGATCCCAGGTCCTTGATATGTTGACTGTACTGATCGCTGCAAACATTTTGAAGCATTCGTTGGCACTCTGTTAACCAGGACAACACCAATTGATAGGCTTGTTGGGCTATTGAAGACGTTTCGATCTTAAAAATAAATAACATTTAATTAAATAAAGTAAATAGACACTATAATAATCACAATTTCTTATTATTATGTTTCTTATTAATTTTAAACGTCTAAAAAATTACCTGGAGAGCTTCGAGGTTGCTGGATAGTCGGAATAATATTTCGTCCATCGTTCGAGTTAATTAAACTGAGTATTTAATTAATTAACTAACTATCTAAACATTATCAGAATGAGACGATCACTAAGGAAAGTAAACTAGTGTATGATGTTGATCTGGAAAAACGGCACAATGTTTATAAATAACTTATTATCTCATTTAGTTAGAAATACATCATGCGAGTCTTATGATCAAACTTTTTATACCTGGGCTGCATGTCGGAGCTTTTAAAAAAATTGCTGATTAAATAATGGGATTACTTGCAAGCCCTTGAGTACTTTCTTCTTATTTTTGAAGTTTCATACCTGAGTTTACCGGACTTGCAGGTTATTCCTTCACTCTGATTTTTTTCAGGAAACTTGTTTTGGTTCACTGCTGTTATGACGTAAGTTTTTTATTATTGTGTGATAATAAAAACTTAATTTTGCACAGCGGGTGTTTAAATAGATAATCGCACTCGGTATTGTTGCGATTGTTGCTGTGACAGCTGATCATCAACATTAGTTTAATCTTCAGTTGATATTTAGACAGTCGTAGTTGTCGTAGTAAACATATTTACTTTAAATACTTGCAGGTAGCGACACTGTCGGAATTTTTTTGTTAATTATTAAATAAATTAGTGTAATTAATTTTTTAATATACACTTTATCAATTATTTTAATTATTAATTGGAATTAAATGATTGTCACTTTTTTTAGTTGCTTAATTTTGAATTTTAAATTAGGCGCGAAAATTCAGTACCTGCGCGCATGCGTCGGATTTTTGAACTAATCAACGGTCGATCGGATGTTGTGCGCGTCGGGATTACGGTCGATTATTTTTCGTGATATTTGAGAGTAATTATGAGTAATTAATGCTAATTTTATGTAATTAATGATCCTTATAAGTTTCTAAAGTCATTTATAATATAACATCAGTCCGGGAAATTGAGAAATTAAAAAAAATATGCTAAATTAGTCTGCACCCCTATTGTCTATACCTATACATATACTAATACGCCATTTTAAATTGAAAGCCTAGAATAAATGACATTTGAAAAAACTCGGAGTAGTTTTGAGAGTTTTTTACGAATAAAAATAATTAAAAGTAAGTAAAATATGAAAATAGCGGTTTAATTATTGTTTAAATAATTATTACTAGCAACCTTGCAGTCACTATGTGAACTATAAATAAATAAATAAAATTTTGTTTCATTAAATAATGACTTTTGTTAAAGTTCACTGTACTTTTTGAATTATTGACATTTTTAAAGATATAAGCTCATCCCGATGTTACACTCATCAAGAGCTTTCATTCGAGTACCCACATCAATTTTTTATATATTTATCAAATATATATATATATGAAATATATGAAAAATTGATGTGGGTACTCAAATGAAAGGTCTCGATGAGTGTAATGTCAGGGTGAGCTTATATCTTTAAAAATGTTAATAGTTCACAAGATACAAGGTC